TTTTGTAAATGTGCGCCTGTCTGACACCTATACCAAGCTGTGTACTCACCTAGTTGAATTCACCTATTTGTGCTTGCGGGGGTTGAGGCCTGGCTCTTTGGTCCAAGGTAATGTGCGTGATGGGGACGTCTCTTGAACGTAACACTTGCTACGTTTCTCTAACACAAACACACGGCCTTGTCGGACGCGTACACTCTTGTCTCTGTATAATACACACTGCGTCGTCATACACAACACGCGTCTTGAAACAAACACGCACGCACGCACGCACGCAAGCGCACATGTAGGCAACCTGAACACACACACACGCACGCGCCTTGATCTAGCTTAACACACTCACATGCCCTGGGCAAACACATGTACCTTAGAATAACACCAAAATATATGGTCCTAACGCGCGTGCCCTGGTCCTAACGCGCGTGCCCTGGTCCTAACGCGCGTGCCCTGGTCCTAACGCGCGTGCCCTGGTCCTAACGCGCGTGCCCTGGTCCTAACGCGCGTGCCCTGGTCCTAACGCGCGTGCCCTGGTCCTAACGCGCGTGCCCTGGTCCTAACGCGCGTGCCCTGGTCCTAACGCGCGTGCCCTGGTCCTAACGCGCGTGCCCTGGTCCTAACGCGCGTGCCCTGGTCCTAACGCGCGTGCCCTGGTCCTAACGCGCGTGCCCTGGTCCTAACGCGCGTGCCCTGGTCCTAACGCGCGTGCCCTGGTCCTAACGCGCGTGCCCTGGTCCTAACGCGCGTGCCCTGGTCCTAACGCGCGTGCCCTGGTCCTAACGCGCGTGCCCTGGTCCTAACGCGCGTGCCCTGGTCCTAACGCGCGTGCCCTGGTCCTAACGCGCGTGCCCTGGTCCTAACGCGCGTGCCCTGGTCCTAACCCGCGTGCCCTGGTCCTAACGCGCGTGCCCTGGTCTAACAAACAGGTGTGTTTCAACAGTCACGCAATGCTATACTTCACTTGTACTGCCTGTAGAGGGGGCCTCATTGGGCACACTAATCTAAGACAAGACGGTCAACACACCTCACCTCTGAATGGGGGAAAGAGACCCAACGTCTTTTAATTAAGAATGTCAGCAATCGTATTACAAAGCTGAGAAAACAAAAATTGTCCCACTTACGGGCTATTCATGCCCGTGCCACCTCTTGGGTGGCTTAATCTTTATCAATCAATCAATCTTTTACAAAGTTGTACACTCTCAGTAGACTCAATCTCTGGTTATACCGTTAGCAGACAACCTTTGGTTATACAAGATAACAAAGTTATCAAGTTATCTCAAGATAATCAAGATACAGCCGTGAAGGCAATTTTCAATTTTGCTCGCGTGAGGCGAGTTTATTTTGGCTGCGCCACTCATCCTGTGAGTGGACACACCGCCATAGCAGCATGTACAACACTCCCCAATAGGAAGAAAACCCGCCGGTTGATAACCCTATAGACACAAGCTCCTGGAGGCAGGCCAGCAAAACATCCCACATCATGGCGTAATCATTTCCATTTCTCTTCCCCCCCCCCACCAGTCCCCATTCTAACAAGTGACCAAAAAAGGGGAATTTTGACATTCCTTCTTCACGAGGCTTGAGCAAATTCTGCACCTCCATCTCCCTCCCTTTCAAAAGGCTTCATAAACATACACACACACACACTATATATATATATATATATATATATATATATATATATATATATATATATATATATATATATATATATATATATATATAATATATACAATGTGTGTTGTTATATATTATTCTAAACAGTTTTATTTATCTTTGCGACATGATTTCATTTTGAGAAATAAATCTTTCCTCCGTCCTCTAGGTACCATCGTATGTCTCTGCCATGCCAAGTCAGCCAAAAATTGAAAAAATTGGCCCCTTTCCCTATAAACACCCTTTCCCTTTTCTCAATTAATCAGAGATCCCTTCCCTTCCCTCGGCCTGTCTATTCCATCACCGCCGCCCTTCTGCCCATCCCTCAATGGAGGAAATAAGCAGCAATTAATGCAGTACTCCACGCGAGCGGCTCTTGCCTCCCCCTTTGCCTGATTGCTCTTGTAGACGCGGAAGGCACCGAGTATGGCTGTAAATTATCAGCAGTGCCCCGTTAACTAAGCAGGCAGGCAGGCAGGCAGACAGGTATAAAGGCAGGCAGACTGATCACCAAAGCAGACAATGGCTGTCTAGTTCGTGGCCTCCTAAGATCACAAACACCACCTTAAAAATTACCAAGTTAAAGTGTTGATTATGAAAGAAATAAAAACAAGAAACAAGGGGAATAAATCCCATTAAAGTCATCTATTTGTGATTTTCTAATTGTCAATAGATTTCGTCTACTTAAATCTAATGTCTCTCGCATTTGACCATTCATCTCTCGGATCTCAATACATCAAAAGTAGGTCGATGAATTATAAGTCTACATGCATAGGGCTGTATGACATAGATGTATGACATAGATGTATATCACGTACTAGCAAATTCAGCTTTTCATTCTAACTCAGTTTTGAGAGTAACCGATGTGTCATAGAGTTGCTGTAAATCTTTTCTGTGCTTTGGCTTTGACGTGATGATAAAGTTTATATGATAAAAGTTTCACGTTTTAAACATGCACGCAAAATACATTTTATACAATGTGCTAGAAACACAAGCACTCGCATGATGTTGAATATGATGATATAATCCAGTCCACAAGCCGAGATCTTCAGCGAGATTACAATTCTTATCTCGGAACAGACTAACGTTTGGGTGTGGTTTAACACAGATCAAATAACGGTAAAAACGAGTATTTTGGCAGATGATGATACGCAATATGTTTATGTACGAGGCAACGGGTAATGGGTGTGATTGAGCGCGCGCGCGAGGGAGAGAGAGAGCTGGTGTTTGCGTGCTTCATCTGAGAGTAGCAAATTGTTGTTGTGGCAGAGGTCGCAACGCACGCCACACACCACCACCACAAACACCAACCCCCTTAACCCCCCCCCCCTCCCAACCCCTCTCTAACCTTGTCTGCTTTGTCGGTAAGCCAAACCACACCGCCCCCTAACCCCACGGGGTTCAGAATCTCAGTAGCCGTATCTCCGGCTTAGTGACATAAGAATGGGGGCAACTGCAGAGACCGGGCCCCCCCCACCATTGATCCATACGCGACTGTTCCTATTGATTTGTGTATCAATTCATTTATTTGTATTAACTGGTATGATGTCTCGCGGAACTTTGTTCGTCATCTGTTTTAGTGCGTATTTTCTGCTATGTTCACTGACCAAATGTTTCCCCTGATTCATATCATTCATCCTTAAGGTCCATATTTATTAGATTAAAATTCTTGGACGCTAAGACAGCCTAAAATTCTTGGCTGCCGAGACAGCCCAAAATTCTTGGCTGCCAAGACAGCCTAAAATTCTTGGGTGCCGAGACAGCCCAAAATTCTTGGGTGCCGAGACAGCCCAAAATTCTTGGGTGCCGAGACAGCCCAAAATTCTTGGGTGCCGAGACAGCCCAAAATTCTTGGCTGCCAAGACAGCCTAAAATTCTTGGGTGCCAAGACAGCCTAAAATTCTTGGGTGCCAAGACAGCCTAAAATTCTTGGCTGCCAAGACAGCCTAAAATTCTTGGGTGCCGAGACAGCCTAAAATTCTTGGGTGCCGAGACAGCCTAAAATTCTTGGGTGCCGAGACAGCCTAAAATTCTTGGGTGCCGAGACAGCCCAAAATTCTTGGGTGCCGAGACAGCCCAAAATTCTTGGCTGCCAAGACAGCCCAAAATTCTTGGCTGCCAAGACAGCCCAAAATTCTTGGCTGCCAAGACAGCCTAAAATTCTTGGGTGCCGAGACAGCCTAAAATTCTTGGCTGCCAAGACAGCCTAAAATTCTTGGGTGCCGAGACAGCCCAAAATTCTTGGGTGCCGAGACAGCCCAAAATTCTTGGGTGCCGAGACAGCCCAAAATTCTTGGGTGCCGAGACAGCCCAAAATTCTTGGGTGCCGAGACAGCCTAAAAACTCTCAGGGGTAAAAATTGCTGACGGAGGCCGGCGGGAAGGCGGCCGACGGTACCCTGCCTACGGGAGTGATTTTTTGCCGGGGCGCCTCGCACGTAAAAACGAAGCCGCCGCCGCCGGCACATTACCAATGCCTGTGTGTACCTATGTACGGACGTCACCTCCCCGGTACTGAGTGAGTCTTTGTCTCACGCCACGTGCTGGGGGGATAGGAGGAAGAGGAGGAGGTTGGGGGGCGGGACAGGCAGACAGGGGTATCTCCTCTTCCAGACGGTAGACAGGATATACATGCCCCTTCGGCGCGTATGGGGTTTGTCTTCCGTATCTCGCGGGACGGTTTGGTCAAGCTCTCTGCTGTTGTCATAACATTAAAAGGAATAGTCTTTTGATTTTATTTTTTTTCCCCGAATTTTATCCACTGAAATAATTTTTGTATTTGCCATAGGGTTTGTGTTTGAAGATTATAATCCAAATAACTGGCAGCGCAATGATAAATTCAACCTTTAAAAGATATCCGCGGACGTTTTAGAAGTTATGGCATGAAAAAGTGTCGGTGGTAGTACAGACTCTGCGTTCAGCTTGCAAGAACATGAGTCTAAATAAGTCTAAATAACACGTCTAAATAAGGTCTGGAGGAGCCACGTACCACGGATGTCTAAGACTGAGCGCGGTCTTACGTGAAACTGAACACACACATACGGTTACTGTAGCATATATATATCGCACGTGAATGAAACGTTCAATGTCTCCAAAGTGGTCTAATGAGGAGGTGGTGGCCACACTCCTGCGGGATATACCCTGTAGTGTGGCCCAGGAGGGCCACACTACTACATGACCTGCCATCCACCGTAGCCACTAGTCGCCAGGGCCTGCCGACCAGTGGCCACCTTCCAGTATTATCCTGCAGGTCGGAAGGAGGCGACAGGCAGGCTATTTTCCCCCCTCCTACCACCGGGAAAATCATATCCACACTACACGACCCTCAAACACAAACCACTGCTCTCTCACCTTTCTTTGCCTCGTCCTTCTTGATTTCGCCTTTGTCGGTCTCTGGATTCTTGAGGAACATGCTCAGGAGAGCTAGATTGCCCGGGTACAACACTTCCATCTTATCCGAGTCAGGAGTACGGAGTTTCATGCAGGAGGTGGCTGGCTAGTCCCTTCCCTCCTGAGTAACATGCCCCCTCACTACGTCTCCCTCCACTCCACCACCACACACCTTAGCTCTCCACAAGAGCAAACTCTAATCTTTCCAAATGATCTTTCTTCACTTGACACAAAACTCAAAAGTCGGATCGCAGGGGGGAGAAATCTCTCTCTCTCTTTTCTTCCCCCTCTCCTTAAAAACAAATATTCTTTAGCGACAGGGTAGATTCCGTTGCATTATTTCGCTAGATCACCATTACGATTATCCCGTGAGTGAGGTATGTCCGCAAGGTGGGCACAGGTGAGTCTGGTGGGCAGGTGTGTGGATGCCACTGAAGTCGGGGTTGGCAGCGTCAGACCGCCGCTGTGTGCCGCCGCTTGGGTCGGGTGCCAGTGGTGGACTGAGTGGCAACTGGGCGTTTGCGGCAGGTCCGCGCGCCGCTATGTCCGCTGGGTGACTGAGCACTCTTGGCCGGCGGGTCTCCCCTTCCACCCTCTACACCCCCCCCTTCGGCGGACCCGCCACGACCCCGCCGCACACACACACACACACACACACACACACACACACACACGCACACGCACACGCACACGCACACGCACAAGCACACGCGCGTACGTACGTACGTACATATTCACACGGACACACACACGTACGTTTACACACACACACACACACACACACACACACACACACACACACACACACACACTCACACATATACAAGCGCATATATGCACACATGCAGAAAAATAAATTGAAGAAAGTTTAAAGGTTTGTCAGCAGACTAGAACCCTAGCTGAGCTACGAGGAGAGACTACGGGAATTAAACCTCACGTTGCTGGAAGACAGAAGAGTTGGTGGGAGGGGACATGATCACCATATACAAGATTCTCAAGGAACTTGAGAGGGGTAGACTAAGACAGTTTATTTAACACAGAGGGCACACGCACTAGGGGACACAGGTGGAAATTGAGTGCCCAAATGAGCCATAAAGACATTTGAAAGAATTTGTTTAGTGTCAGAGTGGTTGACAAATGGAATGCATCAGGCAGTGATGTGGTGGAGGCTGACTCTATACACAGCTTCAAGTGTAGATATGATAGAGCCCAGTAGGCTCAGGAATCTGTACACCAGTTGATAGACAGTTGAGAAGAGAGACCAAAGAGCCAAAGCTCAACCTCCACAAGCACAACTAGGTGAGTACACACGGATACACACACGAACACACCCACGAACACACACACACACGGACATTCATCCTGATGCTCCTGTTCACCTAGCAGTAAATAGGTACCTGGGAGTTAGACAGCTACTACGGGCTGCTTCGTGTGTGTGTGTGTGTGTGTGTGTGTGTGTGTGTGTGTGTGTGTGCGCGCGCGCGCGTTAGAGATAAATATATGTAATAGACATAATGGAGGAAAAATAGATTAATTAGAATGGTGGGTCTTGGAGCTCGATTCTGCAGATACAGATAGTATACACACACACACACACACACACACACACACACACACACACACACACACACACACACACACACACACGTACGTACAAACGTACATACACGCACGTACCCACACACACAAACGGACCCCCCACCCCCCCCTTACACACAAAGCTCGCACAAACGCACATACATACCCACTGTAACAAGCAAAAACATGGACACACGCGCTCACACACAAAAACCTCGCACGCATGCACACACACACACACACACACATCGACCCTGCAGGCACAAATAGTAAATACACTCACAGCCGTTTATTAACATACGAGAGACGGGACCACAGAGCCGAAGCTCAACATCCGCAAGCACCACAATTAGGCGAGTACACACACACACACACACACACACACACACACACACCATACGCACATTAACGCATAACACGCATGTGTTAACCTCGGACGGGAGACATCTCCCGTCACGCAGGGTGCAGTCGCACCTCCACAGATCTCCAGTATCAGCTCTTAATACTGGTAATGGCTCAAAAGGGCCACCACTCACGGGCTATTCATGCCCGTGCCACCTTTTGGGTGGCTTAATCTTCATCAATCAATCAATCTGTTAACCTTTCCCCCTAGACCATCACTTGTTGTTCACAGTAATACATTAATCTAGAGCATCCACAAGCATCATTTTCTCTCTCATTTCCCCTCATACAAAACCTTTCCGATCCACGCTATTAATACCCGCCTTCTTCCTTCCCCTCACTCGCGATTCCCACACCGCGATTTTCCCCTCTTATTTCCCCGTGCCCAGTGGATACTTGTAGTAGTAGACTAGCATATAGCTGTTGTGCTGGAGTGTGAGGGCTTCAGGCAGGTTGGCTGGCTCGGGTCGGGGGTGTGTCGGTCGGGGTGGTGGTTGGGGGTGTTGTGTGTGGTGGGGGAGGGAAGCGACTCGGGCGGTGGCGGTCTCTAGCGGCGGAAGGCTGCACTACCACCACAACACACACACACTCGTACATTTGTTTCTGTGGCGGCTGCCCCTCGCGCTCTCCACAACGGGATGGTTGGATTAGGTTCTTATGGACGGCTGTACTCCCATCGGAGAGTCTGCAGTGTCGGGCTATGGCGTCAGGACCCCGCTGCTTAGCAATTTATATTTGTGGTTAAGTGGTTAAATACTCCGGAATATGCACAGAGTTTATCTGTGGTACAACTGTGGGGTTGGGAATCTTCGGGCACGAATTACTGTAGGCTCGTAGAGCTCTCGTATAGACATGTTGTCTCTTGTCAAGTTGAAAAGGTTTTGTAAACATTTACATTAGGCTTTGTTAGCAATTATAAACATTACATATAAACTACACTTAGACCAGTCGAATAAAGGTTGAGGCGGAACCCAAGAGCCGTAGCTTATCCCTCACAAATACACTTACTAATCGTCAGGTGAAAGTATATTCCCTTCTAAAAAGTTTTTTTTATAATCTTTTTCCTACTTTATTTAAGATCTTTAATCCTTGTGAGTCAAGGTTAACTCTGGCACGTCTCGAACGACGACCATGTAAAGCGACAACATTAGCTCTGTATACGATAATAATCGCAAGCTTATCAGTGCTGACTCTTGGTCTAACTCACCCAGTGACGAGACCAGCATCCATCACCCAGTGACGAGAGATCAGCATCCATCACCCAGTGACGAGACCAGCATCCATCACCCAGTGACGAGACCAGCATCTATCACCCAGTGACGAGAGACCAGCATCCATCACCCAGTGACGAGACCAGTATCCATCACACAGTGACGAGACCAGTATCCATCACCCAGTGACGAGACCAGTATCCATCACCCAGTGACGAGAGACCAGTATCCATCACCCAGTGACGAGACCAGCATCCATCACCCAGTGACGAAACCAGCATCCATCACCCAGTGATGAGAGACCAGCATCCATCACCCAGTGACGAGAGAGGTAGAGAGAGAGAGAGGTAGAGAGAGAGAGAGGCAGAGAGAGAGAGAGGTAGAGAGAGAGAGGGGCAGAGAGAGAGAGAGAGGCAGAGAGAGAGAGAGGCAGAGAGAGAGAGAGAGAGGCAGAGAGAGAGAGAGAGAGAGGCAGAGAGAGAGAGAGAGGCAGAGAGAGAGAGAGAGGCAGAGAGAGAGAGAGAGGCAGAGAGAGAGAGAGAGAGAGAGAGAGAGAGAGAGAGAGAGGCAGAGAGAGAGAGAGGCAGAGAGAGAGAGAGAGAGAGAGAGGCAGAGAGAGAGAGAGAGGCAGAGAGAGAGAGAGAGGCAGAGAGAGAGAGAGAGAGAGAGAGAGAGAGAGAGAGGCAGAGAGAGAGAGAGAGAGGCAGAGAGAGAGAGAGAGGCAGAGAGAGAGAGAGAGGCAGAGAGAGAGAGAGAGGCAGAGAGAGAGAGAGGCAGAGAGAGAGAGAGAGGCAGAGAGAGAGAGAGAGAGAGAGAGAGAGAGAGAGAGAGAGAGAGGCAGAGAGAGAGAGAGAGAGAGAGAGAGAGAGAGAGGCAGAGAGAGAGAGAGAGAGAGAGAGGCAGAGAGAGAGAGAGAGAGAGAGAGGCAGAGAGAGAGGCAGAGAGAGAGAGAGAGAGAGAGAGAGAGGCAGAGAGAGAGAGAGAGAGAGAGAGAGAGAGAGGCAGAGAGAGAGAGAGAGGCAGAGAGAGAGAGAGAGGCAGAGAGAGAGAGAGAGGCAGAGAGAGAGAGAGAGGCAGAGAGAGAGAGAGAGGCAGAGAGAGAGAGAGAGGCAGAGAGAGAGAGAGAGAGAGAGAGAGAGAGAGAGCGAGAGAGAGAGAGAGAGGCAGAGAGAGAGAGAGAGAGGCAGAGAGAGAGAGAGAGAGGCAGAGAGAGAGAGAGAGAGGCAGAGAGAGAGAGAGAGAGGCAGAGAGAGAGAGAGAGAGGCAGAGAGAGAGAGAGAGAGGCAGAGAGAGAGAGAGAGAGGCAGAGAGAGAGAGAGAGAGGCAGAGAGAGAGAGAGAGAGAGAGAGAGAGAGAGGCAGAGAGAGAGAGAGAGCAGAGAGAGAGAGAGAGGCAGAGAGAGAGAGAGAGAGAGGCAGAGAGAGAGAGAGAGAGGCAGAGAGAGAGAGAGAGAGAGAGGCAGAGAGAGAGAGAGAGAGAGAGAGAGAGAGAGAGAGGCAGAGAGAGAGAGAGAGAGGCAGAGAGAGAGAGAGAGAGGCAGAGAGAGAGAGAGAGAGGCAGAGAGAGAGAGAGAGAGGCAGAGAGAGAGAGAGAGAGGCAGAGAGAGAGAGAGAGAGCAGAGAGAGAGAGAGAGCAGAGAGAGAGAGAGGGCAGAGAGAGAGAGAGGGCAGAGAGAGAGAGAGGGCAGAGAGAGAGAGAGAGGCAGAGAGAGAGAGAGAGGCAGAGAGAGAGAGAGGGCAGAGAGAGAGAGAGAGGCAGAGAGAGAGAGAGAGGCAGAGCAGAGAGAGAGGCAGAGAGAGAGAGGCAGCAGAGAGAGGCAGAGAGAGCAGAGAGGAGAGAGAGAGAGAGAGAGGCAGAGAGGCAGAGAGAGAGAGGCAGAGAGAGAGAGAGAGAGGCAGAGAGAGAGAGAGAGAGAGAGAGAGAGAGAGAGGCAGAGAGAGAGAGAGAGGCAGAGAGAGAGAGAGAGAGAGAGGCAGAGAGAGAGAGAGAGAGAGAGGCAGAGAGAGAGAGAGAGAGAGAGGCAGAGAGAGAGAGAGAGAGAAAGAGAGCGAGCGGGGTGCTCCGAGCGCTACGCAACTGACTACCCTAAAGAGACTTAACAAGACGATGAGAAACTTACTTCACGTAAAGTTAACCAGTTTCATTCATAGCCTGATCCCCCCCCCCCCCCCCCCCGTCTCCCCCACCTCATCCCCCGCACGCCACTCCCGCCCCCCACTCCTCCCCATCCCCCCTCCGTATCACACAACCCGTACCCTGCTCTCGTGTCCCCCCGCCCCTCCCATCGTCCCTCACCCCCCTCTCACCCCATCCCCCCTCCCCTTCCCCTCCCACATCACCCGTCCCAGTAGTTTGGAGAGGTT